ATGCCTGCCATATCCTGACCTCTAAGAGATGCCTCCCTCCCCACTCTACACCTTCTTCAGACCTCCATGTCTACACACTACCCTCCCTAGATAGACTGAGGAGAGGGGATGTCTATAGGAACCAGGAAAGGGATTGGAGTTTTTGGGTTATCCAAAATCTAAAGTTGTGCCCATGGAGTTGGAATCTTTTTTTTCCTTCTTGAAAGCCACTTGAACTTTGTTATTGCAATTAAGTTTATCTCTTCTAATGTTTGCTCAGCTAGTGGGTGGAAGATGTCATCATACTCACTAAATTTTATGAAAACCCACTTACATATGCTAATTTTTCAGAATAACTACTAAATTCTGAGGCTTCAAGACACACATTCCCTACATTCTAAATACCAGGAGGCTGTGGGATTGGCCTATGAATGGCCACGGGATGTACAGCCTGATCTACCTACTTCTCTGCTTGCCTAGCTGTCCACCTGCCAAGAGAGCTGTCATGTCTTCACTGGCTGTGCCAAGCCCTTGACTGGCCTCTGAGCCAGCCATTGCGTCCTCTGTGCAGTTCCTGATCTACAGGCACTGCCTGGACAAAGAAGGTAGAATGTGTAAAGCAGGCAAAAGGCCTGCGGGGAATTGACTCACACTTGCTGTTCTTCCCCAGGCTATCCCAGAAGTTTCTGGGATTGGTATTGACTTTGCCCAATGGAGGAATTTTCTTGGTCCTCTTCCACACTCCCCATTCCCCACTTTCATTCCCAGAAAGCTCAGTGTCAATATCTCACTTGAAAACTATGATCTAGGGAAGAAGGCCCAGCTGTGAGATTGAATATCAGGTTTCCCTATTCTCTTAGTAGGGGTGTGGTGCAGGAAGCTAGGTGTGTGAGAGGACATGGTCTATCCAGGAAGCTGCCAGTTAATCCTGCCAGACTTAGCAACTTGATGGGTGGGAAAGGGGTACAGGCAGGAATGTTTCCGTCACGATTGTTTACTTTGGAGATTCTTTTATTGGTTTTAAACTGCAAGGCTCCTAAAATGTTTGCTTCTCTTTTTCTTCCTTTCTCTTCTTTTTCTTTCCTTCATTCCTTCCTTTCTCTCTCTCTCTCTCTCTCTCTCTCTCTTTCTCTCTCTTTCTTTCTTTCTTTCTGTACTAGGACTTGAACTCAAGTTCTCATTCTCACTTGGCTTTTTTTTTTTATTTGCCTGTGCTATGCTCTATCACTTGAGCCTGCCTCCAGCTCTGGCTTTTTGGTGGTTAATTAGAGACAGGAGAATTTCATGTTTGTCTCCTGAGATCCTCAGATCTCAGCTTCCTGTGTAGTTAGGCTAATAGGTATGAACCACCCCTTCTGGTTCTCTCCCTCCTTCTCTCTCTTCCCCTCCCCTCCTTCATTCCTCCATTCTTTCTTTCCTTTCTTTCTTCTCCCCCTTCTCCCCACCACAATGCTATGGATAAAACTTAGGTCCTTATCCCTGCTAGACTAGCATTCTACCACTGAGCTACAACTCAGCCATTGGCTTTCCATTTAAGTAAATTCTTACTGCTGTGTTCCTAGACAAGTGTTGGAAGAGTTCTTTAGGTAGGGAGTGGGAGAGGAGGAGGTGGATGAAGTCTCAGCTATAATTTTGCATTTAGTCCTAGGTTCAATTATCGTATGATCATCAAACAACATAAGTCAGCTATAACCCAGCATAGATAACCCATATGCCATATGGAATCCCACTGTACTCTGGAATCAAGATAAATGGGCTCGAAATTTTCCCAAGATCCTCCCTAAGAATATTGAGGGTGTTTGAACACTACTCATGAACACTACTTCCTAATACTGCAGCTGGCTCAGCTGCATGGCATCAATCCAGCAATGAAAGAGCCCTTCATCGCTTTCTACTTGTTCACCTAATGATTAATATTCTATATCTTGCTGAAGCTTTTGAGATAGTAGGGAAGGGTATTAAAGAAAGATGAAATGGGAATTCGCTTTGTACTAAACAACTTCAAATTCAACTCCAGCCTTCCTAGTGTTATGTTAAGCCTTCCTAGGCTTCCACTAACCTTGATTGCTTATGGACACAGAGGGTATTTCAGTGGCCAATCACCCCAGACTCTTGCACTGGCCTCTCTCCTCTCTCCTCTCTCTTCTCCCACTGGTATTTCCTGGTATCTTGCACAATGGACTGCCCTTGCCTTCTGCACAGGTTGAGAGTCTCACATGCCCTTTCCCCCGAAAGTAGATTATTGACTCATTCACAAATACACACACACACACACACACACACACACGTGCACACACACACACATGCACACATACACACATACAATGTTTCTACTACCTAACTCCAGTGAATCAGTGATTACAGGGTGGGTGCTGATTTGACTATTCTATATCTCTTATTTCCTCTTAAGCAGAAAAGCCTTATCTTCTGACAGGTTGTATTTGCTGACCTATCACTAACTGGGCTTTTCCTGTGTCCAGACATTGAAAAGTTCAAGAAAAAAGCACAATGAGAAAGAATGCATAGAGACATAAGCCCAGCAGGAGTCAAAGGTAGGTGTTTATAAAGTGTTGTGTGGGCTCACACAATTCCCAAAGCATTCCAAAACATGGAGGGAAGCAAATAAACACAAACCAGAATCATGGACCTCCCTGCCATGCCAGCTAACTCTGTGACTGTGACCTCCAGAGAAGGAAGGCGTGAAGCAGAAAGGTAAACTCGAGATGGGTTTTGCAAGGCTAGCATTCCTGTTAGAACTTTAGGCCATGACAATCATTTTCCAAGCCCAAACTTACAGCTCATGAAAGCAAAGGGTAATTACTGTTGAAGGCAGTCATTTCAGCCAAGACCTCAAACACCAGGACCTTGGAGCATGGTATCAGGAGCAACAGAGGCTTCTTACCCTGAGGAGTGAGAGACCTTAGAAACTTCTTAGGAAAATCTGTGCAACCACAGCTGTGGAGGATAGGGGAGTGGAAGCTTCAAAGCCCAGGCAGTAGAAAGGGAGAAATCAGGGGTAAAGACATGTGGGATGTGAAGACACTGGCTACCATCACCTCTGCTGAGAAGTATCGTGAGCCCTCTGGAATCACTTTGGTGCCATCTCTCCAATGGCAGTGCCAGCCAGGAGCTCCACAGGCCAAGTTCCCCACACTATCATCTCTGGATCCTGCCTTCTAGGCAGGGATAAGGCAGTCAGAAGATGCTGCCTCTATCTATCTATCTATCTATCTATCTATCTATTTTGCTTTCTCTTTTTTTTTGCTTTGTCCCTGACAAGCAAAAATGTGCTTCTATTTCCACACACCTGGTTTAAACAGTTCACACCTGCTGTGCAGTATATATATACTACTTTAGCATTTCAGAAGAGTTTTTTTTATTCTCTTTAAGTAGTTGTACAAAAAGGGTTTCAATTCAACATGTACATTCATGAGAACAGTACATCTTGATCTATGTCACCCCTTCCATTATTCTCCCCACCCCATCTATCCCAACGCCACTCAACCACTCAAGTTCCCTGGTTCCATTTTCACAAATGTACATTGACTGTTGTGACTGTATTCCTCCTTTCTCCATATGTGTTAGCCCAATGAGCTCTCTTCCCATAGTTTAGCACGCTCCTTCCCCTCTCCACAGCTTAGCATGCTCCTTTCTCAAGTAGCTAGGATTACAGGCGTGAGCCGCTGGAGCCTGACGCATGCTCCTTTCTTAGGCAACATTAGACCCACGTAGTAAAGGCAGTAAATAGTCAGATTCCAACCCCCTCTTCCTTGGAATGGCACTTCTCTGGGGCAGGTACCACCATAGAAGGCAACAAGTGTCCCTTAGAGTGACCTTCAGGTCTGGCAGCTGTAAGACCCTTCATCTACTACTTGGGCAGCAGCCATAAATCCTAGTCCACAATGATGAAGCTCCTGGCCCTCACATCCACACCAGGGTCTCCTCCTAGCCCCTTCTAGCCCCTCCTAGACCTCCAAGGTTATATAGGTCACCCCAGACAATAGCCGGTACTACTTCTCACTTCTCCCTTTTCTTTGTTCTTTGTTCCTGGATGTCTGTGTAGTTTTCTGGCAAAGTCTAAAATACTCTAACAATACACCTGCTCTCCTCCCCTTAACCTCCCTCCCCGTAACAACATATTCCAGCTTCTTGGCATTTATTTTGTTACCTGTAAGTTAGTTTTCAAAGGAGTTACACACTTGAAGTCCACCCCTGTTATATCATACTTTAAATTGTGTATATGTACAAACAGCTCTATATATGTTTCCATATACTTATAATTTATATCTAACTTCCACACACGAGAAAAAACATGAAAAAAATATGTAACATAATAATTTTTCCTGGCCCATCCATTTCCTTGCAGAATATCATTCTTCACTTGAGAAGAATTTGAGGCACAGGTTGGCACTGGTTGGACTGCAGAATAATCTACAACCATTGAAGACAAATCCTCAGAAGAAAATAGTGTTAGAAATTAGGGACAAGTGTGTAAAAGACTATGTAATGATAATAAGAATGGGAAAAAATCCTAATGTTATGTAAATAAAGTAAGATTTTTCAGTTCAAAGGTATTTCCTCTGTTTATAATCCATGCACACTCACATATGTGTACATGCATGTATGTATAATGTATGCATACATATATGCATTTGTGCCTTTCCCATGATACACAATGCACTGCATTTACATGTGTACACACAACCATATGTACAGATGCATGTGTGTGAATAGTTATGTACCCTGCATATATGTACACATACACATTATGTTTACAGCATGCATGCTATACTTGGTCACACACTTATTCACTGCAGGTCCCCTCTGTCAAAGGCTACAGTGCCCTAGAGCTTTGTACTTGATTGACATTCACTAATGTTTGCCGAAATAAAGCAAACCTCTGCCATGCCTGTCTGTTTTTATCATTGACCATTGCTCTCAGGAGTTAATGTTTGAACCTAGCCATAAAGAAATCGACAGCCACTGACCTATGGCCAGTATTTGACTTGGAGGAAGCCCCCTATAAAACCACCAACAGTGGGCAGCTCGGCCAGCAGAGCTGTGAGTCAACAGTGAAGAAGGAGCCACCATGAACTTCACTGGAAAGTACCAACTGCAGCATCAGGACAACTTTGAGCCCTTCATGAAGGCAATTGGTAAGTGCTGGCCTGGGAGCCAAGGCCAGGTCACAGCAGTGAAGATCTGTGCTACTAGTAGTCAAGGTCTAGTCAAGGTCTGACATTGAGATAGGAGGAGAGGTGCACTGGAGGGTGTTTTACTGATTTTTGCAGTCTCTTATCACTTCTTGTGCTATTACTAGATAGACAGTGGAAATAACACTAAACTGTGGCTTGATGTGGAGTGAAGCCCAGTGTTGGCTGGCACTGTCTTGGGTCACTCTTGATGCAAGAAAACATTGATTCAAGGCTAACCACATACCAAACGCCAGGGAAGCAAATAATGACCAGTCATGTATCTAAGGTCAGGAGGAAAACAAACAAACCAACTATCCCCTAAAAAGTACCAGGCACTGCATATGCAGCACCCACTTGATTTTTATCACACACTGAGCTGAGTTGTATGGTTTTCCTATTTTATACTTGAGGCAACTGAGCCTGAGAAAGGAAGGTTAAGTAGCAATGGCCACCTGGTAGGAAGTATTCATATTGTGATTGAAATTAGGCCCTGGCCCCTGTCAGTCCCACTTAACCTGAGCACAGGATGGTGGAGGGAAGGTGTAGAAGCTCAGAGGGGTGAAGGCTGAGCTTTGGAAGATGAGGCATCCACTGGGACCTGGGGGAAGGAAGTGTGCTTTAGAGGTAAGGAGCCTCATGGACAGAGGGTACAGCATGACATGGGAGGATGTCTAGAGGGAGAGGAGGAAGGGTAATAGCGAGGGACAGAATAGGGGGACATGGAGGGCCAGCTGTGATCTTTAAGTCTCTTCTGTAGTCAAGTCACAACGGTCCAGTATCTAGCATCTTTTAGGCTAGCAACAGGAGTTTCTGTTATCAATGCACAACACATGGCTTCCATGAACCTCCATTTACATGGAAGAAATAAATATGCTCTGCAATTGGCGAAGCTCTATGTCAGGATGAGGAAATTCCTGTACATCCTTCCTGACAGCCTTGCCCTCCAGAAACACAGGCTTGCCTGGCCCGCTTCACTTGGTCCATGGTGTTTTGAACTAATTACCAACAGTTCCCCTCACTGCTTCTGAGTGACTTGATTTGGAAGACAAATGCTCTGGTCCCTCCAGGAATGCCCACACTCAAACAGCTAAACCATTAAAAGAGAAGGGAATAGAGAAATCAGTGAATGAGAAGCAGGGAGCCCACAGAAGAAAGTTTCTGCAGGACAGAGGAAGAACTCTTTTTATAAGTTAATTGGAAAGATAGAAGAAGTAGGCTAGGCCACTGGCCACAGACATTGGAGATAAAGCTCTTGCTCTTGGCAGGTCTCCAATTTCCATGGCCTCTGGAAATACATGGTGCCCTCCTCTGTTCCTACATAAACCCTCTGTAATCCTTGGCTGGTTTTCCCCAGGTCTGTCTGATGACCTCATTCAGAAGGGGAAGGACATCAAGAGCGTGTCAGAAATTGTGCAGAATGGGAAGCATTTCAAGCTCACCATCACCACAGGGTCCAAAGTGATCCAGAATGAGTTCACCCTGGGGGAGGAGTGTGAGCTGGAATCCATGACTGGGGAGAAAATCAAGGTAGGAGTTGCTCTTATTTCACTACCTTCTGCTTCTAGAACTTTCCCTGACCCGAGGGCTTCCTGCTCAGGGTTCACATCTCACAATTCTCATCATGGATACCCCATCTTAAACTCACCTCTTGGATGAAAGAAACAAGAAAGCTTGAAGAGAAGCTTCTGGCTTTTTCCTGAGGAATGTTCCAGAATGCTATGATCCCCTAACTTGACCTCTCACATATATAGGATGTGAAGAAAACAGACACAGAGTAGGACTCCCAGGCCCAGTGCTCCTAGCTTTCAGAGTCCATCAAGAGGGTCCAGCAATGAGGAAGAGTCCATGAAAACCCTTACCTGGACCAGACAGCTACACCTCCAAGGGCTCTGATTCCAATTAGACAATAAGATCTGGGCCATGTTTTCTGTGAGAGGCTGGCAAGTGAAGGAGACTCAAATGCTGTGGGGATAAGCGACTCTGCCGGCCACTGTAGCTAATACCACCAAGCCATCATCTTCTCTGCTCCCCATACCAAGATAACCTCAAGCTCTGGGCTCAGCATATTTGCCAATTCCTCTTTTTTGATTGTTCATTAACTCTGCTTCTCAAGATACATTACAAATCAAGAAGAATTTCAAAAGGGGAATGAATTATCTAGAAGGTTGTTTTTACCATGGTTCTTTTCCAATTGCCCATTTTGGAGGCAGTTTTAACCTTGACCAGTGTCTTCTGTATTAAGGGTTTGTTGGTTGTTTTTGAGCCCTAAGCTTACCTGGAATTTTCCATCCTCCTGTCTCAGAATGCCTAAATGCTAGGATTCCAGGCATGCATCATCATGTCCTGGTTGGGTTTCTGTTACCTTTCCTTCATTTCTAAGGACTGAAAAAAGAATCAGAATAGGAAATATTCATGTGCTGGAAAGAGCAATACACACTAAAGCAAACTATATGTCCTCTGGATGTACCTCTTTCCATTAGATTGGAGAATTTGTGTTTGCTTTATTTAATTTTAGCTTGCTTTGAGGGTCATCATAGGTTCCCTATGCTCATTTTGAGATCATATACCACAAACGGAAATTCTCATGAGGAAAGTTCTTAAGTTTTCTTCCTTTTTTTTTTGGTCAGTTGTAGGGCCTGAACTCTGGGCCTGGGTGCTGTCCCTTATCTCTTCAGCTCAAGGCTAGTGCTCTACCATTTGAGCAACAGTGCCACTTCTGGCTTTTTCTGCTTATGTGGTACTGAGGAATTGAACCCAGGGCATCATGCATGCAAGGCAAGCGCTCTACCACTGAGCCACCTTCCCAGTCTGTTTTCTTCCATTCTTAAATGTACCTCACTTCCATTTAGAGCCAGAAAATTGGAGGGGAGGGGCCTATATGTAGAAGGGCAGAAGTGTTTTGGTGGTTGTGAACCAAGATCGTGTGGAAAAATCAAGCTCATTAGCAAGGGTCTAGCTCCCTCCCCAGACCTTTCTCACAAGCCTATCTCTCTATCTCCCACAGACAGTAGTTAATATGGAAGGTGACAATAAACTAGTGACAACCATCAAAAATGTCAAGTCTGTGACTGAACTCAACGGCGACACAATCACCAATGTAAGTTGGCACTCTGTGGAGCTTATAGTTTCCAGTACTTGAGGGGAGAGGAGAAGGGAGTGTTACACAGGAGCTGTACCCCCATTTTCCTTCCCTAAGCCTCTTACTCTCCACATTTCCTGGCAATTTCTTCTAGTGCTTACTGAGAATCCACCATTTATCAGTTTAAATCTTCCCAACAACACAATTTTCTAAGTGGAGAAACTGAGGCACTGAACAGGTAGAATCAGCAGAGCAGGGCTACCAGCCACTACTTCTTCCCCCCGCCAGAGGGAACCACTCACATTGTAGACAATAGATTTGCATACTTATTACAACCTCACAGCAGTCTTCTCTAAACTCAACCACTGCAGCGCATGAGGATGGTTTTTTCTTTCCTCACTTGGTCTTGAGGAAGAGGAACCTTTTCCTAATTCACCATATGAACTCATGGACGATCTGTCTGGTGTCGATCTGCCTGGTGTCACATGGGTGACCTTCCACTACCATTTTCTGAGTCAGCCAGCCACACCCAGCACCTTCTTCTCCCCTCCTTCCCTCTCTCCATACCCTTTTTCTCAACAAGACCCATATGGGGAATTGTTTTATGATCAGAGGCATGGGGGGACTCTGCATGTCTTTTCCTGTCACTATTGAGTAGCCATAAGCCTCAAACTCAGGCCAAAGTCCATTCAATCAGAGACGCCACAGAAATCCATTCAGTCTGCAGAGACCTGCCTCCTATGGATGCTGTGGCTCCTGGAGCAACTCTTCATCCCATTGATTCAGTTCTGGCTCACAAGGAGGGTTCTGTTTGCCCCCAAATTTGGCTCTTTTGTTGCTTTTCCTATTTTATGACATCATAAGTAACAACCATAGCCTGTGGCTGTGCTTTATACTACCTAATGAGTTACAGAAGCCCTTAACCTGACCTACAAGCCCAAGCTGCCTAATAAATGCCTCTGGCCACTGGTGTTTGTTTATTTGTTTTGTGTCAATATTGGAGTTTGAATTGTCCTTTAGCTTTTTTGCTCAAGTCTAGTACTTTACCAGTGAGCCACAGCTACACTTTCAGCTTTTTGATGGTTAACTGGAGAGAAGGGTCTCATGGACTTTCTTGCTTTGACTGGCTTCAAACCATGATTCTCAGAACTCAGCTTCCTGAGTAGGTAGGATTAGAGGTGTGAGCCACCAGAGCCCAGTTTCCACTAGCACTTACAAGGAGACTCCAATTCATGGAAAATGTATAGCCGCTTATGAGAAACACAGGCCTACTGTGCAGTCAACCTGCGCCTGGCAATTGGCCACATCCTGCTCTCAGTTTTCGGAGTGAATCTGCAGTGTTCTTTCCACAGTCATGCCCTGCTAGTTCTTCTTTGCCCCTCAAGAATATGCTTTAATGAGTCACAAGGTAGAACCCTGCTCAAGGAGGCTGTCACCACTGCACTGACTTCCTTCCACCAGGAAGAATGGGCGTCAACCATGAAACATGCAGTCTCCATCTCCACCCTGAACTTTACAACACAGGGAGCAGTAAGAATGAGTTGTCCTACACTGAGTCCTGGCCACCAGCTTTTAATGTACTCCACTTTGCCTAATTTTCCTGTCTTCTGAGAGGGAGTTGGGATCCAGGATTACATAGGTTGACTGATAAGTGGTAGAGCTAGGGCTCCACCCCGGCAATGAAGTGGCTGTAAAACCAAAGAGCTCTTTTCTTCACTCTGACAATCTATGTCACAACAGCCAACGTGTTCCAGAGAACCAAAGGGATGGGGGAATCACCCCTCAACAGTCTACAACTGGTGGATCCAAGTGTTTTTATATGCTTCATTCATAGCTATGGAAGATAAATTACATATTGGCCACTGTTTTCCATGTACATTCTCTTGGGTGTTCAACAACATGTTCTGGACTTATAATAGACCTCAGTGGAGTTTTGAGGAATGGTGCTGGCATGGCATTATTGCTATAGCAACCACTGATGCAGAAAAGAATGCAGTAAATGTGAGGACAATTTTCCCCATGAGAAAATGAAATGGCAAAAACATGGCATGGCATTAAACACAAATTACCCACCCTTCCTCCAATCTTACAGAAAATGAGGACCTTTAAATTACTCCACATGTTAGCATATTTGGGTGTTATTAGGGTAGCTTAACTATTACTGTTTTGTCTTGTTTTGTTTTTGTGTTTTTTTTTGTTTTTTACAATTCAACATTAGCTAAAATATTCGTGATTGTTTTTCTGGCTTTCAGACCATGACATTGGGTGACATTGTCTTCAAGAGAGTCAGCAAGAGAATTTAGACAAACTGCGACACATCTTCTTTTACTGTGTAAAATTAATAAAGTAAACTTTGTTTAAAAACTATTGCTTCTTCTTGATAGCTTCTCATGATATTACTGTTGGTTTGAATGTGTGTATGTGTGGTGCTGGGCATCAACCCCAGGGCCTCATGCATTCTAAGCAAGTGTTCTACCACTGAGCTACCTCCTCAGCTCTGCTGTTGGTGTCAACTAACACTGACCACTTACAAACTTGGAATTATTATCCATGTGTTTCAACCTATCAAGTCAGGCCTGAAGAGTGAGTCTTACCCTGAATACAGACCTCAGATTGTCTACTCAGGTGTCCCTGACAGGAGCCCCAGGTATGCAAGATCTTTAGAAAGGCTCAACATGTTCTTTCTTGGTCAGTCACATGAGCAAAGAGCTAGAGCCGAGGATATTCAGGGCACAGGGTATAGGAATAGTGGACAGAGAGATTTTAGGTAAGGAGTAAAAGAGGAAGCCAGTCTCCAGCGGTTAAAAAAAGAAAAGAAAAGAAATGGAGCTGGGCACCAGTGGGTCATGCCTGTAATCCTAGCTACTCAGGAAACTGAGATCTGAAGATCATGGTTCAAAGCTATCCCAGACAGGAAAGTCTGTGAGACTCTTATCTCCAATTAACCACCAGAAAACTGGAAGTGGCTCTGTGGCTCAAGTGGTAGAGCACTTGCCTTGAGCTAAGAGCTTCGGAACAGACCCTGGGCCAGAATTCAAGCCCCACAATCAACAAAGAAAAAGAAAGAAAGAGAGAGAAGAGAGAAAGAAAGAGAGAGAGAGAAAGAAAGAAAGAAAGAAAGAAAGCAAGAAAGAAAGAAAGAGAAAGGAAGGAAGGAAGAGAACAGAAGGAAGGAAGAAAGAAAGAGAAGGGGGGAGAATTGGGTGGGGGGGAGGATAGGAAGGGATGGGAAGGGGAAACAAAGGAGGAGGCTACAATGCTTGATAAGAAATGTACTCATTATCTTGCCCATGTAATTGTAACCCCTCTGTACAGTATTTTCACAATAAAAAATAAATTAAAAAAAAGAAAGAGAACAGAAGGGAGGAACAAAGAAAGCACAGAAGGGAGGAAGAGAGGGAGCTGGGTACCAGTGGCTCATGCCTATAATACTAGCTACTAGGCTGAGATCTGAGGATCACAATTTAAAGCAAGCCCCAGCAGAAAATTCCATGAGACTTTTTTTTGCGGGGGGTGGAGGGGCGGCACCCGTGGGGAGGGGTTATGTGGCTTGAATTCAGGGCCTGGGTGCTGTCCCTGAGCTTCTGCACTCAAGGCTAGCACTCCACTTTTCTTGTGGTTAGTTGGAGATAAAAGTTTCACAGACTTTCCTGCCAGGCTGGCTCTGAACCCCAATCCTCAGATCTCAGCCTTCTGAGTAGCTAGGATTACAGGTATGAGCCACCAATGCCCAGCTCCATGAGACTCTGATCTTCAATAAACTACCAAAAAGCAAGAAATGGCACTATGACTCAAGTGGTAGAGTGCTAGCCTTCCAGTATCAGACAAGATTAGTGTGTTCAGGGTGGTATGGCCATAGAGTGCTAGCCTTCAGCAAGAAAAAATCTCAAGGACAGTGCCTAGGCCCTAAATTCAAGCCCTAGAACAGGTTCTCTCTTCTCTCTCTCTCTCTCTCTCTCTCTCTCTCTCTCTCTCTCTCCAAGAAAAATCAAATGAAACAATACTAGTAGAAAAAACAGTTAGCTATGAAGATTATGATCCAAGAGCCCTCAGCATGTTCATTTACTGCATTTTCAAAAAGAAAGATAGTGTCAAGAATCCAGATGGAGAAGGAATAATAATGGAACTAGTTCTCAAGGACATAGGAGAGCCAGGGATCCAGGGCAGAAACAGAGGTTAGATTTGGAGGGAAAAAGACCTGTCCCCCTCTCCCAGCCCCATTCTACTGGTCCAAGAGGGAAGGAAGGAGGGGAGGAAGAGCACAGGCCCAGAGCGTCATTAATTGAAAACAACAAATATTAGTAAGCTGGGGAAATGACCGTGAACATGAGAGAAAGGTAAATGGGTAGGCAGAAAACAGGACAAATCAGAAGAGGAGGGAGGTTTTGTATTTTGGAAGAAGAGTGATGGTATAAATGTGCCAGTTAGATCTCGTGAAGAATGCCTGTCTTTGAGCCTAAAGAATGGAGGTTGAAACTTTTACAGAATAGCATATCCTCAAAGAAGAACCAAATGTCATATATATATTCTTCACAGAAGTGGCCTGCTTGCAAGGGTTTCATTTAGCGGCAGGATTCAAAGGGAGGAGTTGACATCTTAGGCAGAGATAAATATAGGGCTTGGTAGGATCACTTACTTGACTGTAGAATGTTAGGATTAGCTCTGGGATCCAAGGTAGCCCAAGATTGTATTGATGGTTTGGTGTCATCCTCAAGTATAGAACCTTGTTCTGGGCTCCCCCAAAACACTGACAAGAAATTGGGTCCCAGAAAATACAAGGCCATCCTTGGGATTGGTTGATTCCCAAGACTTTCACATCTCCTATACAAATCTGTGTCCAGCAAGTGAAGATAGTTTGGTCATACTCCTGAGGAGATCCTAACCCGGGTGGGCAAGACTGTTCTTTCCAACTTTCCAATGAAAAGGATATAAAACCTCAGGACACAGACAGAAAACAAAATTAAGGGAAGTAATAACTATTCCCTGCTGCCAATGGAGGCAGCAATGAAGTCTACACTTGGTCTCAACCAAGAACCAATTCTTCTGGGCCCACGTTCATCAGGTATGTGTGCTTCCATGTCTCTTTCAGCTTTGCCCTAAAAAGGCTTTTCAGTCATGCTAGGAATGAAAATCCTGGTAGGCCACTACAATCCTAGGCCATCAAACTCTCAGATTTTGTCCAAGTAGCCCCCCACATGACAAGGAGCCACAAAGCTCAGGGATGAGAGTAAGGAAGGACATATTCGCTCTCTGTATGTTCTAGAATTATTTCTAAAATCTTATTTGGACTTTGAATTGGGGCCTCAGGTGGTTTGGACAAGGCCACCACCAATTCATGTAGCATCCTGAAAGAATTTCAAGTCTGAGTAGACAAGTCCACTCATATCCCATTAGCCAGAGCAAATGAAACATCACCCATCTTAGAGTATGATCTCACCTCTTCCAGAGCATGGGGAAAGAGTATGGCCCCACAGGCACCCACAGAGAGGAAAGCAGACACCTGAGTATCCAGGCACCTGCCACTCCCAGCTCAGATGTCCTTCTCTGTGTCACACACACTGTGTCACACCACACACACACACACACACACACACACACACACACACACACACCATGGCCTCCTTTATATCCTTCTTTCCATATAGTTTGTTGCATTTAATATTACACTGTGTTTTCATTGATTACATTTTGCCTCACCCCCACCCAACTATATTTAGAACTTCTTTATGAGATGCTCTGTTCTAGTACTCAATAAATATATTAATAGAAAACACTGGGCTGGGATGTAATAGAGCTAAGGTGAATTGAAATGCGTTGAATTCAAACAAAATGACAGTGGGAAATTCAGGGCGATACATCCCCAGAGACACAGGTTGAGCAGAACCCTAACTGCCCCCAGAATCTCAAGAGTCTCCAGCTCCCACAGCCTGATAGCCCCTCTCCCAGCAGGTTCTCATTGCTTCTTATGGAACAGAGCTGGGGCCGGCTCCTTGCTGGGCTCTGCCATGACCTGCATGGGCTGGTTGTTCAGGGCAGCCTCGCGCATCTTGTGGTACATGAATTCGTTCTGGCGGAACATGCGCAGCTCCATCTCTGTCTGCATCCGCATTCCCTGTGGGACACAGATATACCATAAGCAGTGTGACAAGCCCACAGGGCATGGTCCCTGATCTATCTTGCAGTAAATGACTCTCAGCCACTGAGATTCATCTCTGCTTCTTTAGAAAACACACACACACACACACACACAAGTGGCTTTATGTCTTAGCAGTGCATCCTTTTTTTTGTTACGGAGGAGTCAACTGGAAGGAAAGAGCAACTGGAGGGATTGTTTGGGGAAGAGAATGTTTATTCTCAGAAATTGTCAAGTGGGCACCTGGATTTGAACCTCAGATCCTGTTACTTATTGGTTCTGGGACCTCACGCCAATCATGTAATCACTTCAGTCTTGTTTTCCAAGGGTGAGATTCCTTTGTACCTTGCAGTGGGTTGGGGAAACTGTAATGTACAGCACACAACAAATCATCTTTCCCCATATGTCCAGTCAACTATTAATCAAATACTGGACATTGTTAAGTAGCTGAGGATTCCACAGAAGTTAAGACTGCAAAGATCACTTTTGACAAAATCAATCTATTGGATGTAAAGTTAGTCATCTCTACCTTTCTGCCCCCTACTTTGGCCTCCCATCCATTTTCAAAGGCTAGTGTATTATTTCCATTTTTTAGATGAAGAAACTGGAGATCTGAGGAGCAAAAGGACAGCAACACCTGAGTTCATACTAGTTTTAAATGTAGCCACTCTTCAGTGTATGTTATGCTGACATCAGTGTGCTTTCCTTGGGCTACACCACCTGGGAAAGCCATGTCACTCTCAACCAACCAGCCCTTCAACACACAAAGGGAAACCGTAGCTTGTAAGATCACACTACTTACAACTGAGTACCTGTGGCTCACACTTAAAAATTTAACTATTCAGGAGGCTGAGCGGTAAAGGATCATGTTTTGAAGCCAGCTTAGGCAGAAAAGTATGACAGAGTCCACCTCCAAGATAACTAGCAAAAAAAGCTGGATTGGAGGTATGTCAAGTGGTAGAGTGCTAACCTAGAGTGCAACGACTTGGCACCGAGTTCAATTCACTGAACCTCACTGCAATCCTTCAGGCTCATCCACTCAATATGGTAAATCATAAAACTAGACAATTTTACAAGCTATTTTTTCCATCCTGATTTTTTTCTGCTCTCTATTTGGTGAGTGGTTACCTTAATTTTTTATTATCCTTAAGTAGTTATACAAAGGGGTTTCCATTCATTCAATGTGTCAGTACATGAGTACAAAACACACTGATCAATCCTGAGTA